TCCCTGCCCCTGCCCAGATCACTGGCCTAGCAACTGCTGACCGGAGAGGTCTGCGTTTCCAATTCCTCTCTTGACTCTCTGAAAGAACAATCTGGATTTCTGCTTTATAGGAAGCTTTAAAATTCAAAGTCTGTAACCTAGACAGGTGCTTAGAGATTAACTAGTTCAGACAACCCTGTGCAGCACAGATAGAGAAACTAAGGCTCAAGGAAGGGTACAACTTGCTTAATGCTTGCAGTGACTCGGAACTCCTCTCAGAGTTTCTGACTCCCCGTGCAGTGCTCCCCAGCTTCCTGGCGCCGCACCCTGGGATGTGTGCAACTTCTTTATGTCTCATGTTAGCATGTGGTGAGAAGAACTATGTGTGCCTCGGGCTCTCAACACAGAGCCTCGATGGGCAGGATGTAAATTTCTAACTAAGGAAGGATCCTGGCCAAAGGCCACTGCAAGGTTAGCACAGGTAGGCTGCAGACTGCCTCTGGGGGATGCCGTGGGGGAGGTGTTTAGGACCCTGGACTCTTCCAAGGGTTGTGCACTTTGTGCAAAGGTTAAGTGTGGTTTACACAAAGAGACTCACATGGAAAGATAGAGACAGGAAAGAGTGACAAGGACAAGCAGAGTGACAAAACAGAGCCATGGAGAGGGAGACCACATTGCCTCCAGGAAAGAAGAGTCTGCATCAAAGAAGGAAGGAATGAGAAACACAAGAAGAGAGATGTAGCACAGTGAACAGGATTGAAGACGTAAGGAGATAGATAACAAAAGGTGGTGAGCCGGGAAGGTGTGACAGATGGGAGGACTGAAGTGGTAGAAAAGTTCATAGTCAAAATATAGTTTATTCCCAGGGAAGGAATAGGATCGTTTGTAGAGAGTCGCTGCTGCTGGGAGTGACCTCTCTATTAGCAATCAGGTTCAAATCGTCAAGAATGGACCTAAAAGCCTTTGGCACAATGTCAAGTTCCATGGAAATGTGCAGAGCTAATGATTTCACATCCAAAATGCCCCCGAACCCTTTTTTGTTTCTAATCCCTT